AGGTGCTGGGAGGTCTCCCCGGAGCCTTCTCTTCTCCAGGCTGCACACCCCCAACTCTCTCAGCCTCCTCGCACGGGAGCTGCTCCAGCCCTTTGCAAGGAACCCAGGTCCCAGGGGAGCCCTTACCTTCTGCAGCTCTTCAAAGGTCTCTTGGCAGCACTCACAGAATCCCCTCTTTCTCTTGGGCACAGTGACCGGTGTGGACCGGGAGCTCTTCTCCCTCTCGCTGCAGATCACACAGCCCTCGGCAGCCCTACGAGGTAACGGCAGAGATGTCCCCTGCCCCACCAACAGCACCAGCAGGTACCAGCCGCCTGTGTGAGGGCTGGGGAGGCAGCGCTGCCCTGGAGCTGCGGCTGTTTAACCCAGACCAGGGCTCCTTTCGCCCGCATCCAGAAGACAAGCGATTCCCTAAATCCCAGGAAGCAGCAGGGTGGGAGTTGGGTTAAAAACTTGCACAGAAGGAGCTACAACCTACCTGGCTCTGCAAGAATTCGAGAGGCTTTTCAGAGGCTCAAATGGGCTGGAGCCTTTGGGTGCCAGGAAATTCAGGTCGGGAAAGCTTTTGAACTGGCAATGGAAGGGTCGGAATCGCCTGAAAGGAACAGAGCAGGACATGAGACCTCTGGCAGTGACAGCATGGTTAGAGCTGTCCCTCCCTCAGCGGGGCTCAAGGGGCTGCCTCATCTGCGATGGGACCCTGGCCATCGCTCTCCTTTCATTTGGCCGTGACAGAGATTTCCCATTTCTCACTGGAAGTCCCTAACCTGATTCCCAGTAAGAGCACTGGCGAGGGGATGTTTTGGACAGAAGGCAGGCTTGCCTGCTCAGCTGCAAACTCACCTTTTGCCCCCCAGGCACCTCCGCAGCAGCCAGCGCAGTATTCCCAGCTACACAGCAGCACGGGAAAGTTCAGGTTCCTCCATGACATCGCTGTCCTCACACTTTATCACATGCATCATGTAAAACCTAATATCTGACTCTGCAGCTGCCTTCAATGTTGTCCTCAGAGCAATTAATTAGCACTCTGGATCCCGTTAGAGTTACAGAGTTGTCAGAAACACCGCAGAGATCAGATGCCCTGGTGCCGGATGCTGTAATCGAGTTACAGCCCCTGACCTCGTGTGTGTCCATCTCCTTCCTCATTTCAGAGGGCTCGGGCAGATCGAGTGACCGGCTGAGGATCACAAACGGAACCCGAGCAAGGAAGTAAACCCTGTTGTCAAGTCTCGTTTAGCACCTTCCCCCCCAAAAAAACACGAGCCACCCAGATTGTTTCTGTAAACCCCATCTGCCTCCCTCCAGGAGAACGCCAGCTGCCCGGGGCAGAACAGGGTCTTCAGAGCCCAGGCTCTGCCTTGTGGGCTGAGTATTCCCTGCAAATAAAACCAGTAAAGGATGCCCTTCCTGGGAACCCCTGAGGTTTTAAGGTGGGATATTTAGAATGACCTCATTTACCTGCTCTGGTCTTCAACCTTCAGAAAGGGGGGCTTCAGTTTTCCTGCTGGAAAGAAAGGCAGTTAGAAGTCACCCTGGCCGAATTCCCTCCTTATTGATTCACTCCCCAGCAGAACTGGACTTCAGAGCCAAGCTCAGCGGTCGTTACAACACCCATGAATGCCAAGCAATGGCTCAGCACAGCCAGAGTAGCTCTTTGGGTAACCTACAGCAGCCCTGGCCTCCGGAGGATCCAGCAGAGTGACCAAACCCTGGAGGCAGCCCCAACGTGGGCTGTTTCTACCTTTGAAAGAACATCCCACCAAGCCCCTCGCAGCTTTAGCACCTGCTCAGTCTTACCAGCCACCGGCCTGACCCCAAGCCTCCAACTCCACCTCGAATCCTAAAATCCATCACACATCCTCAACGTAACATGCTCCCAAGCACAAGAGACCATTTACAAGAAACAAATTGCATCAGTGGTTGCACAAGTACAGAGCTCTGCACCAGCCCTTCCAGCACCATTTTTTTCCGTTTGCCTTCACCCAACAGCCCGAGTTCAGAGCAGCTCCAGCCAGGAGGGTCAAGTCAAAGCGGTCAGAGCTGCTGGAGCCAAACCAACGCGCTGTGCGGCCAAGCCTGGCATGAGAACACCGCTGAAGAGCAATATCTGGCCTCTGCTTGGTCCCCGAGGAGGGCAAAGCTCTGCTTCCTGCGGAGGGGTAATATACACGAAGAGAGCAGGAGAAACCTCAGCAGTGCGCTCAGGGAAGAGGCTCTCAGAGCCCGGCGGGGCAAAGAGTCTACCAGCCCCTCCTGTCTCTCAGGTGTGGTCAGCTCACAAGGGATAACATTACCCTCAGCCTGGAAATCCAAGTACAGATCCTGCCAGGAAACAAATAGCTACTGAGTTAATCCCACAGGGCACCCACCTGACCCCGGCACCAAGCCTCGTGCCTCCCTTACTGCCCCTGAAGGGCGAGGCGGTTTGTGTGCTTGTGATCCCGGCACTCAAGGCTATTTTCTCCAAAGAAATGTTAACCTCCCCCTGGAGAAAGGCTGAGTCCACCTGCGCTCCCCAGTATGCTCCTCGAGCCTCCTCCTGAGCTGCATCGATGCGGTTATGTCACCGAAGCAGCTATTTAAGTACAGGATCGATTCTTCCACGTAAACGCTGCCAAATGCTTCGCACTTCTGAAAGCAGGGCTGTGTTCAGGGCTCTGGATAAAACCCAGACTGGTGGTGGGTCCTGAGCCCTCATGGCAGAGCGCTGAGCGGTGACAAATGGTTCAGCTGTCACCGCAAGTCCCCAGGCAGGGTTCAGAGTGTGCCACAACAAAGAGCTCAGAGCTTTCAGCAGATGATCTGCCTTATCCAACAGCTTTCCAAGCTTTTTTTTGCCACCTTCCCCCCTCCAAAACTGGAAAATAATCTTTCAAGTGTCACGCACAGAATCCAGGTTGGAGGCTGAGCTATTACCGAGCGCTCACTCTCCAACGAGCGAAGCCACAAGCGAACTTACGTCACGGGTGCCAATCTCAGCACCACAATTGGCTCTTGTCTAATTGCAGATGAGAACCTGGTTTTTTTCCCCCCCTCCCTCCTCCTTTGGGAGCGTTATCCCTCGATCGGTGTCTCAGCAGCACATCTCAGCCTAGCAGAAGTGAGTGGGCTGTGAGGAACATGCTCTGCTCTGGAGGATGCATTCTTCTTCAAAACTTGGTTTGAGCCGGTGGATTCAATGTGCAGCGCCAGCAGCACAGTTCTCGGGCACCTCAGGATTCCGGGAGCTGCACCGCAAATGATTTGTGGGATTTTAAAAACCACCGCCTGAAATCAAAGGCAGAGCAGCCTCGGCTGTGTCAGGAGGCTGCAGCTAGACTCAGACAAGGAGCCACAGAAACCACTCAAGAGAAACTGCCTTCACAGTTGGTGTATTTTGGACTGCTGAAGTTTCAGATGGATTTTCAAATTCCAAATGAGGCTTAAAAACAGCTCTGCATCCGAGTGTAAATAGGAACACGACTTGCAGACTTACCTTTGGGAATTTTGGATCCGGACGCGAGGCATTTTGCCTAGAGGAAACAGTGACATATTTAGTATGGGAGCCAGCACAGGCAGAACTGTAATTACTGATCCCAGAGCAGCGAGGCAAGATTGCAGCAGCCTCACCCACCACGTCAGAGCTCCTGCAGCAGAGACTGTATCACCTCCCCCTGATATTTTGTCTCCCAAGTTACCTAGATTTCCTTTAAATATGCTATACAGGCTGCCACTCTGATTTAACGCCCTACCTTCTCACTGACCTCTCCAATGCGTTAAAAAATACCCCAGAAAGCCAGGGAACAAGCCACATGGGATTTCTGTCTTACCCTCAGTCCAGCACAAGTCAAATCAGTCTGAGCTGTGCTACAGATGGGGTTGAGAACTAACAGCTGCCTATTCTCATCCGCTCTTACCTCCACTTTATAAAAAGGAAAAATTCTTTGAATTTTATCATCTCCATCCCTAACAGAAGCACCAGATTGCCCAGTGCTGGATGAAAACCCAGGAGATCACCCTGCTGACTAGCCCAGTTGCACCTGAGGAGCCAGAAGGATCGCTCAGAACCACCGAGGGATCCCGAGCACCCCAAATCAGGCTGAAGTCAGTTACCTCTGTCTTCTGGCACAGCTTCCTTGCTCCTGAGACGGCACGCAGCAGCTGCTGAGTGTACGACAACATTTCTGTGCAGGTGGGACGTCAAAGAGCCAACACAAGAAGGTGAGCTGCTCCCCTCCACCAACCCCAGCACAAGTCTAGCTCCCCACCTGCACCGGGAAAAGTGGGGAGCACCTGGGCCTGCCATCAGCTGCAGAGCATCACCTCTACACGGTTAACTCACTCCAGAAAAAAACACAACAAAAAAAACCACAAGAGCTTTGAGGGACAGCACCCCACCTTGCTCTTTAGCAGAGCTGGAGAGCTTGAAGACTGGAACTTTAAACTGGAGCTTTAAGTCTGCAAAAAGGGCAGATTGAGATGAGATGTGAGGAAGAAATGTTTTCCTGTGCAGGGGGTGAGGCAGTGGCCCAGGGTGCCCAGAGAAGCTGTGGATGCCCCATCCCTGGAGGGGTTCAAGGCCAGGCTGGATGAGGCTTTGGGCAACCTGGGCTAGTGGGAGGTGTCCCTGCCCATGGCAGGGGGTGGCACTGGGTGGGCTTTAAGGTCCCTTCCCACCCAAACCGTTCTGGGATTCTGTGATTTTTACAGCACACAGACCAGACCCTGGTATTTGAGAGCCCTGACAGGCTTGCAATGCCGCTGCCGATCAGCGGAGCTGGCTGCTCAGGAACGTGTACCGGCAGCGGCTG